AAATGATTTAGTTTAAAAGCTGATTTAGTTAATTGTAATTGATTGACAAAATGAAAGGAAAAACTAATTGTAATCAATTGGTTATGTATTGTTAATTGTAATCTATTAACTTGTCTTGTTTTCTGGTCAAGTTATTTAGGTTGATCAACATTTCTAATTTAGTTTTCTTAATTGTTTACAATTAATCATCAAAATTAAATAGTTAACCAGATTACTGGTGAACATGAAATTAAATCAAATTGATTTAAAATTATCTCGCTAATTAAATCAATGAGAAAACAATAATAAATAACATTCAAGCTTAACTTAAATTGTCCAACAATTTGTTAACAGTTTTAAAACAATTTAACAGTTAATTGTGAAAATTGGTTCCTGCAATTAGATTGTTCAACCATTTAATACACAGTTAATTGTTGATTGGTTAAAGTTATTTAACTTCCGTTACGATTGTTAAACCAATTGAACAATTAAACCTCACAACTGATTGGTAACAATTAATCAACTACAATCAGTAAATTCATATACACATAAAGATGAATCAATTTGATTAAAATAAATTAGTACAATGATATAACAATTAACCAGATAATTGAACACAACAATCAATAAGAAAAATCAAAGTCTGACAATTTAAATCTGATTCTAATTTTCTGAACAATTAAGCTAATTGCATTTCATTAATTTCAACTACAATTTAACCTTGACAATTGTGTTAAACGTGACGTTATATTATAACTGAATTGATAACAATTAAGTTAAATAATCAAAGTAAAAGTAAACAATCAACATCAATTTTATTTTTTCGTTAATTATATTTAAATTTTTGATTAAATGTTCTGTAACCATGTAATTATATATCATTATTATTGTTATTAGTTGATTGTGATTGAAACGTTAAAATATAATCTCAATTAAAAGCTTATTAATTAACGGTAATTATCAATATTAGGAAGGGTATTTGATTAAGATGATCTACAATTAAGAAGAAGAGAAAATAATAAATGAGTGAATTAAATTAAATTGTCCCAATTTATAATGGATCGAAATTAACTCCACCTTGAAAAAGTTTTCTTTCGAGTTCTAATGAGTCATCAATTATCAACCAATTAGAACTTTTAATTATTATTAACTTTCAATTGGAAAGTTAATTAATAAGCTATAATAATTTAATTCACTTTGTCACTTTAATCAACTAACCTTAAAGAAGCAATTAAATTCAGGTCACAAATAAAGATGAAGTTTAATACAAAAGTTTTTCATTTTCATGAAAGATTCAAGCTTCAATTCAATTAACTGAAACTGAAAAGAGTTTACAATTAACAATTGACAATTAATAAACCAAAGTGTGAAATTGATAGTTTATCAATAGTTGATCAAAAAGCTTCTTAATTGTAACTCTAATTGTCTTTGTACATTTGTCAACAATCAATGGTTAAGTTCAAATCAAAGTTTCCAAGGTGACAAAATGTTTCCTGGATCGACCTTAATTCACTTTAATTGGGTTAATCACTATGATTCCTTTTTCCTTTTCTACCACAATTACAATCAAATGAAAGAAATTAAAAATCGATAAAATTAATTAATTGTCAAAGAGAGAGAGAGAAAAATTTACCAGGGTAACCATAGTGCCTCTTAAATTAAGGTAAAAGTCTGTTAACATTAAATGAGATTTGTTATTGTTTTCTTGTTGCATAATTATCGTTGATTAATTAGATTACTGTTTAAATGAGTTTCTTTTAATTGTTTCTTTTTCTCCAATAATAATCATATTAATTGTGTTCCTGTTTATTTGTTGTTATTATTATTGTTTAAACTGTATTTTTATCTCAATCACTTTTCTCTGTTATTCTAACGGTTGTTTGTATTTTCTTCACCTAAAAACAAACCGGAAACTTTAAGATCGGTTTAATTTTACCATCATCTCCATCATCATCTTGATTATCATCAATGATTGTTTTCTTTTCTCTTTAAACAAACTACAATCTTACTTTCACTGTTATTCAACTTGAGAGAGAGAGAACAAGAGAGTGAGTAAGTGAGAGAGAGAGAGAGAGAGAGAGAGAGAGAGAGAGAGAGAGTCCAATCAGGTTACGAATTAACAATTCAAAAGAGAAAGGGATTTGGCCAGGTAACTATTATTTTTTACTATTCTTCATCTGAGAAAACAAAAGAAATAAAAAAAATAAACTTGAAGGTAATTTGAAGATGATGATGATGATTATCATTATTGTAGATTAGTTGTTTGATTTTTTTTCTCTCTTCCATCTTATCCTCATCATATTGTCATCTCTCCACTCGATTGAAATAACTCGTGTTTATTTAGCACGTTTTATTCATTGGAAGACACAACAACCAACAATTTACCGTTATAACACAACAAACACTTTGTTGTTCTTGTTGTTGTTCAATCCTGTTACTAAATTAAGAAAACATTTTCATCAGTTTACTTTTGGACACTATTATCATCCTCATTATTATCATCTTCATCATCATCACCATCTCTACACGTTATCAATGTCAAATGCAAGATTATCCAACATTAAATCAACATGGATTCATTATATTGAGATTCCTAATTAGTGATAATCTAATCAGTCAATGCCACACAAACATAATCAATGAAGTTTTAACTTACGACAAAAAAAACAGGACAATTCATAACAATTCATAACAATTAACTAATAGCAACCAATTTAAAATCTAATCATGATCAACATCAACATCATGAAGTAGTTGATAAAATGATTAACAAAATGGGAAACTTAAATTGTTCACAATCAAATTAAAGGTAAATAATAATATAAGTTATCATTGTGATCATAATTGTCTGATAACTACAACAATTATATTAACAGAAACATGACAATTACAATAAAGTTATTAATGGTAATTAAGTTGGTGATTAAATTGAAATTCATCTTGACCTTGGGTCAATTAACTGTCCAATTAAATTGAAGGTCTTCCGTTTATTTTTAAATCATAACAATTAGTAAAAGTAATCAAAGTGTAATAATCAAATATTTAATTCAAGTGATCAGTTATCTCAATAATAACAATTAACATCAACATGGTATTACAACAATTTAATAACAACAACTGATTGTTGAAAGTGATTAACTATCATGTTTATTTAATTATTAACATATTAGGTTAATGGGACAGTTAATTGTTGTTGTTATTTAATCAAAATTAGTTTATTTTTTGATACATTGTTAAAAAGCATCATGATCATTTAGTTAATCATGATACTTTCTCTTAATCAACAATTTTAATTGTTTCGTTAACTATCCTCACCTTTAGATGAAAACTATTAATTAAAGATATTTACATCAACCAGACTAATTAAGGAGTTAATTGTTGTTTAATTGGAGATGTCATTTAACTTTACTTACCATTAATTGATTGAAATTTTGTAATCAATATCATTTAATTGTAACGAATCGTAGGAATCAAGTTAATTGTATTTCAAGCATAGATTATATTTTATTCAATTAATAATAATAATGATAATTATGATTATATCAAATTGTTGATTCTTAATTGTCATCATAATCAGAAAGGAGATTTAAATTAAATCTAAATTGGTGACAAAAAAAAAGGATGAATGAATTGGGAAAGGAGATGAAAAAAATGTTCAATCAAAGTTAATTGTTGACAATCAACGGAAGTGATTTATAATAATTAAAGAGGATGATTAACATGATTAAGGTGATTATTGTTATTATGACAAAATGCTTGAGATTTATTTTAAAGATTATCAATAAGATTAAGAAACGAAAAAGTTTTGTAGACAGGAAAAGGAAATAGTAAAAAAGATGAAGATTTTTTTTCTCTTAAAATGAGTTAAAATGATGCAAGATGATGACGTTGAGTGAGACTAGATGATGATGATGATTATGATGGTGATGGTGATGATTATGACGATGATGAAAAAAACATACCGATAATAATTGTCTGTTGATTGTTGTTTATTTTTGACGTTGTTTATGCATCAGTTGATAGTCATTAGTTGATTGTCTTCAATGGTTCATGATCATTTTCATGATTAACTTGATTCGTTGTCCTCATGTTGTTGATGATTGTTAATGATGATGATTTAAATTACAATTAGTTACAATTTACAGGTAAAATTATCACAGATTTTTCAACAAAACCTAAAAGTGTCTCAATTGATTAAAACTTAATCTTCATGGTTGTTTAATTATCTTCTCGAATCATAATCATCATCGTAAATAACACTAGGAATTCAATTAATTACAATTAGCTTTAATTGTTTATTTTTTCATCTGTCTCATTGTTAACGAAATCATCATATATTTTTTTTCCATAAATCAATCATTACAATCATCAACAAATTAATGTATTAACAATTAATATTTACGACAATTTAAACTTGTTTTTGACAGTTGATTTGGTTAATGATTAATTATTGTTACTGATTAATTTTTACTCTTAATTGTTAACATAAATGAAAATGATTGAGAAAAGGATTTCAATTTAGTTATCGATAAATAAATTGTTACTTTTATCTTGACACACACACACAAAAGCAATTGAGTTAATTAAAACTTTAAAATCTTTTAAGAAGACAATCAATAGCAATAGTTAATATAATCTTTCAACAATTAGTAAACAATTTAGTCTAATATATAATTCTGATTGTTACTTGAAAAGGCTCAATTAGAATCTTGATAAATAATATAATGGAAACCTAAGTTATAACAATCAACAGTTGATTCTCATTTTTGAATAAAAATTAGAAGCTAATGATTAGTAAATTTAAGAAAACACAATTAACACACAAGAAAAGTGCTAATTATTAGTTAATTTAGTGAGCAAAGAAGAAAAGTTTTATAAATTCATCTTATTGATTATGGTTAAGGTAAAAGCTGAGAGAATACTAATCAAGATTATTGATAATTTAGATTAACCATCGTCAATATGATGAAACCATATGACGATTGTTAAAGGTGATGAATGAATAAGATGCAAACTGTGAATCAATGGAAAGTTGTAAGTGTTTTTACAAATTTTAAGAGAAATTGTATTAATAACATCTGTTCAATGGGAAGAGGAAATGAAGAGAAAGATAAAGAGATGAGGATAAAGGCAGAAAAGGTGAAGTGTAAGAGAAAGAGAGAAGATGATTTTCAGAAGGTAAAGGCGCGTGGATAGGAAGGTAAAGGTGTGCGTAAAATGGATGAGCGAACACGCGTTACGCGCTTGCTGTTTTACTTGAGGCTCTTTTTTGTGTTGCATTTTCTTTCCAAGGTTTTAAGTTTCTATTATTTTTATTGTTATTATTGTTATTATTTGGAGGCAATATGTCTTCAGGCAATTTGGTTTTTTTTCGTCATAGAGGAAAGGGAAGAGAAAGAGAAAGAAAGAGGAAAAGGCAAGCTGGACATAAACAGAAGGTTATAGTTTAAATGTCAAGGTGGGTGGAGGGAGACAGGAAGAAGCTAGTGGATGTTGTTGTTTTGTTGTTGTTGTAACAATCGATAGATTTAAGGATGGATATTATTTGAGTACTTTTGCTTTGGTAGCAAGTTAAATGTTTCGTTTCATAGCTTACAGTGTGTTTCGTTTTTCTTTTTTGTCGTGTTGTTGTTGAATTGTTACTTTTTTTTCCCAACAGTTCGTGAATATTATTTACTTATAAATAGAATAAAAAAATTTGCATCATTCTCTTCTTGAAAAGACGATGATCATGATTAAAATCAGGTCCCACAGGGTCATTTATAAGACGATTGTTTTAAAACATGTTGATGTCAATGTATTCAACTCATTTAGAATGCTTTAAGTGAGGCTCGACGTAAAGGTGCAGCTCCTGAAGTTGGCGTTGTTGGTGAGTTTGTAGTTGTAGGTATTGTTGATGTAGATAATGGTGTAACTGGTGACTTGGTATGATTTTTAGATGATAATCTACTTGTGATGTGTTGTGAGCTTTGAAGATAATTTGGATAACGACTTGTCTTGGTGGTTGGTGTGGTGGTGTTGTTGTTGCCGTTGCTGATATTAATTAGGTTACCACTGCTGTTGTTGAATTGTCTGGATGATGAGAATGATGAATTAAGGTGAGAACTTGTACTTGGGGATCGAGTTAAGTTTAAACTTAACATTGATCGGTTGGATTTATTTGTGCTGTTTCGAAGATTATTAAGGCCATCATAGGCCAAAGATCGACGACGGGTGAGTGTGTGAGCATCATAATTACTATGGTGATGAGGTGAGGTGACACTGGTGTTGTTTTTGTTGTTGACTATTGGTGAGACACATTTTTCGGTGCTATTGATTGTGCTTGATGAGCTACTAGTGCTACTATGAGTGCTACTTGAAGCTGTGGTAACGTTACTTAAGGTTGTACAGGCACTAGAACGACGGGCTAACGATCGATGACCATAAGGTGAACATCCATTGATTAAACTAACATTATAATTTGATGCTGATGAACCACTGGGAGAACCGGTAACATAATTACCACCATTACCCACAGAGGTCCAAGGTTCGGGACTTGAAAGGGAGCTACGACTAACTGGGGTTGAAGATAAACATCTTCTCAAAATGGGTGTGGAGGGAATACTCTGTTGACTAGATTGACTGTTACGTCGACGGGACATACTCTCTGAGGGTCGAGTGTCCATTGGCAATAAGTCAGATGGTGAGATGTCTTTTACTGGGTCAGATCCATTTCCATGTCTATCCAAAAAGTGTTGTAAGGTATCCCAACCACCGCCAACTCTTACCATTACATGACGATCTTTAAGAAGCTAAATTAACAAACGCAATAATTGATTAGATTAGTTGAGCAAATAAGCAACATGATTACTGTTTTAAGAATAAGATAAAAGTGGAAGCAAAAACTAAATAAAGCAAAAGTCTAAATAAAATGATACAAATGTAAACAAATGATGATTGAATCATTACCAAAAAAAAAGATGAAGATGAAAAATGAAGCAAAGAAAATTTAGATCAATATCTTGGTGACAATTCTATTATCATCCTGAAGTCTATTAGCTTTTAAAATCATTAAGAAGAGGCTATTGCACTCTAACAGTAAATTTCCAGGCTCTTTCATTACTTTCTTTCAGCTTATCCATTCTCATCTTTTTCAGCTACTTCTTTTCCTCGAGTATCTGTCATTATCATCATCATCTTCTTCTTCAATCGGCTGTCCCACATCTCCTTAACATATTTTTTCCTTTTTTTTCTCTCTCAATATAACGATAATAATAATAATAATCTTATATATCATTTTCATTAGATTATTAATAATTTTATATCGATGAATTTTTTTTCAAATCATTCTTTCTTTCTTTACTTTTTCATCGTTCAGGATACCATTTGATTCTTCATGAAATTCAATTTTTCAGTTACAACAACAGAAGTAAAGAAAAAAAAAAGAAACTGGATTAACACAAAAGGGATAACGCAAAAAATTCTGGTTTTAGTTATACTTCTCTCGTTTCGCTGGTTTCAAGTCGATTAGTCTATTTCGCCATCATCCTCATCTTTAACTTGAAGCAAATTATAAGGAAAATTTTTCATGCTTTGCTTTTTTTCATCTCTCTTTTCCCAAAAAATGATTTGATATCATTGAAAATCTTTCCTACAACTAAGTATTCATTTCTTTTGCATCCTTTTTCATCTCCTCATCTATTTTTCTTTCTTTCTTTTTTGTCTGATTAGTTATCGAAATGAATTTTGACCTAGAGACTCAAAGATATGGAGATATAGACAAACTCCAAGTTAAACTGTCCATGAAATTGGGAAATTCATTGGAAATTTGCAATATAATATAAACTAATTGCAGAGGAAAACCCAGAACAATTATCTTATCAATATATATAAACAGTTGAAATTGGTTTAGACAAAAACAATTAAGAGACTAAAAAACACAATCAAGTTTGATAATAAATGATAAAAAGATAATTGGTTAATTACACGAACCCGAACGAAAACTATTTTTCCAGCGATGCGATATTTTCCTTCAGCTAATCGTTGAATCCCATGTTTGGCTTTTTTACCATAATATGATTTGGCAATTAACATAACCTGTAAATAAAAAAAGTAAATAATCAAGGGTTAATCAAGCAATTCAATTATCAGGTGAGAGATTAATAATAATAATGGAAGAAAAAAGGTTAATAGTGATAATCATTCAATATATTCATCAATCTAATGAATTAGATTAAGTTTCATTTTCTGGTTAGATGAAATTTCTTAACGGAAATAAAAATATTGAAATAATTGATTGGAAATTAAATCCAATTATTATAATATAAAGATGATGACTAATATGCAAATGATTTTATCAAAGTGACTCTTTGATTAATGTAACACCGAGATTGATTTGCAAAAGATTTTACTTGTTTTCTATGAATATTGTATAATCCTAATCTTAATGATTAAGTGATTTAAAACCAAACAAAAGGTTACCCTTGATTATATATAAAATTCATTCATATTTGAAAATGGGAGATTTTATGAATAATCAGCTAATTCAATTTGATTATACTCAATATTCAATACTATTTTGAATCATAATATTAAATTTCTGACTCGTTTTCTTAATCGATTGAGTTAAAAAGTTGTTTTTTCAATAAATTTTCTATCAATACAATTTGTTATCCTTACTAATCTCAGAATAATTGAATACTCTTTGCAAAACGGAAATGAATGTCAATTAGAAATTCAGTTTCATGGTGCGTTTCGTTCATTGAAATGATTTGAATCAAAAATTCATCTTAGTTTAACCAGTGAAACATAATGATTATCATCAAGTGGAATCAACAACATGATAAATCATCACATCAGGATTCATTTAGGAACAAAAATGTTTCCCAAATCCCTTTTTTTCTTATACATCTTCCATCATCATTATCTCTCATCTTCAAGACCCCACCTTAAATCTATTTCTTCAACATCATCATCATCATCTTTTCTATCTTTCTCTTTCTCTCTCTCTCTTTTTGTTTCTTTTCATGTTGTTTTACTTTCGATTCCTTCTTAAAATTCATTTCAATTATTGTTTACCTTTTGATCAAGCTGAGAAACAACTTTCTCCGATTCCTGGCTAAACTTTGCTTGAGAAGATTGTGTTTCCGTTGATTCAGCGGAAGTAGAACTGATTGAGGTCACTGATGAAGCTCGTCCAAGATTTTCTTGACTAACTGATGACCAACCATCAACACCATCATCATTAGTATTAATTGAACCTGAATCACTAGACGATTGACCATCACCACTAATATTATCCACAGAATCAGGTCGATCTGGACATTTATCCTCACTACTACTATTACCATCATCTTCCCCATCACCATCATAGCCAATAATTAAAATGTTACCATTAGTGTTATCACTTTCATTGTTATGGTTATTATTGTTGTCACTATCATCCGATGAGTTAAGATTATTTCTTAATGTAATATTATCATCATTGATTAAATTATTATTACATTTGTTGATATCGGTCTTGTCACTAGTCACATTATTAATCGTGGTTGACATTTTACTGTATGATGATGATTTAGATTTAGAAGTAATTGTTGATTGTTGTTGCTTTTTTCGATTTCGTAACATTTCTCGTTCCAAGTCTGCTTTTTCTTCAGCATCAATCTCTTGTTCAAATTGAACCAATCCTGGTGCGGGTGTGAACGAAAACTTTTTACATGCAATTCGAGCCACTTCCAGTAAACATAGAACAACATTTTTAGGATTATTGTGTAATACTAAATCCTCGGATTCGAATAGTACACATTCACGAACATTCAATTTACGGCACCATTTAATAAAATTCGAAACATTATCTCGAGCATAAAAGGTTTCACTTTTAGCATTTTCCCAGCATTTCATAGTTCGAGCACAAATACCATTAATTGAAGAGGTTGTAATGGCTGAAGAAAGGTGAGAAGAGGGTGATGATGATCCATTAGCTGAATGACCATTACCATGGTTAAATGAGAGTCGTCGACCATTATGATTAAAGGCATTGGATCGATATTGTCCTTGGTCAATGTTACAGGGTGACTTTGAATTATTTATACTTTCTTCATAAATAGTGTTGTTGTTATTGGCTTTATGGTCAATCTTATTATTGATTTTGTTACTGTTGATATCGTTTATCATGTAATTGTTGATATTGTGATGAGAATGACCATTTAGGTTACTGTTGATTGGCTTATTATTATTATTATTATTATTGATGTTGTTGTTGTTATTATTATTTAAATTGTTGGTGATGAGTTTTGATTCATCAATATCACACTTTTCTTCAATTAATTTGGCCAATTTACATACAATTACACCATTATCCAATCGAGACATGAAATTGTTAGAATCCAAATCTTCAATGTCAAGAATAGCTTTAAGCCAATCGGAAAGATCTTCTTTCATTGGGATTAGATACTCTTCTTGAAGCTCAGCGATTTTTGCTTGAGGAGTAAATGAATAATTTGATTGAGTAATATGATTAACTTGATGTTGTTGTTGGTGATTGTGATTTTGATGGCGTTGGTGACCATTTCGTTGTTGATGATAGTGATAATTAGATGATTGTTGACTTGAGATTAAAGGTGAATCATCCATAATGGCAGCACAAATTTAGATTATACAATCGATACCAGGAGAAACAAAGGAACAATTTTGGAGTAGATTTGTTTGAAATCGAAAATAAACGATAACAGCAAAAAAAAAGCTCAAAGGTTAAAAAGAAAACCAGAGAACAGAACAAAAATGTAGAAAATTGTTACAATCGAAAACAATGGAATCACACTAATTAATCCTTTTCTTTTTCTTTTCTAAAATAATTCACTGTTAATTTCCCTCTAAATTTCACTGATGGGATTACAATTTAAATCACGTTGAAACTCAACAATCACTTTAACAGTAAACTTCTCATTCAACATCATTTTCACAACTAACAGTTAACATAACATGAGAAAAATAAACACTCTCTCTCTCTCTCTCTCTCTCTCTCTCTCTCTCTCTCTCTCTTCTCCTCCTTCTGGAGACAAATCAACACGAAACATAGTGAATGGACCCACCCAGGAACACGACACAAGGTTCAATCGATAAGTATTCGAACATCACTTTTGGGTGAACATTTAAAATTCAAGAAACTTAACTAATTCAATTAACCGAACATCCTAATGAACAGAGTGAATTAAATTCTATTTAGAATATTAGAAATTCTAATTTAAGAATTTATGTTCGATCGATACTATCGATATATCGAAAATTGGAGATAAACAGCTGAGATTTTTTTCTTTTACCAGCTAAAGAATTTGGTTTGAATTGAAATTAAAGAATAACAAATTTTATTTATTGGAACTAACGGAATTTGATGAGATTGTGATCTTCACATCTTCTGATTTTACTGAGTATTCATGGTAAGCTGGTGAACTTCACAAGAGCTTTGGTGAGCTTTTTGTACTTTTGTTGTTATGAAAGAAATTACCATGAGTGGTGAATATCGTTTCTTTGTGCGTGAAACTTTCACCAACTATGAGGAGTTCAAACGGTTTAAAGATCTTTTTGAGAAGGAAAATTCTACTCAACTATATGTGAGATCAAGCCACCGATCGGATGATAATGAATTGAAATATTCTTACTTGGTTTTGAATTGTAAAGCGGGTGGAAAGAGCTACGAAAGTGTTTGCAAATCTAAAGGTATCAGGAAATCTAAGTGAGTATAATAATTGATAACAACTGAATTTTAGTTCAATTCTGAAGCCTTAAAAGGCTTAGATTACTTGGAATGAGTGATAACAATTGTTCTTTTTTCTTCTTTCAGAACTTTGCAACAGGGTTGTCCATTTAAGGTGACACTCAAGTCGTGCAAAACAAGGAAGGTGTTGATTGTGTCCTCGTTGAGAGATGTGCATACCTGCTCTTTAGCCGGGAGACCTGAAATATTCAAGCGACTACCGAAACAGCGAAGACCAAATGAAGAGGAAAAGAAGTTGATTATCGGTGTTAAAGAATGTGGAGGTAACACTAAAGATTTGATAGCGAAACTCAGAAGAGAGAGCAACAAGTTGATCACAGGAAAAGATGTGAATAACTGCGTGCGACAGAACCGTTTAGTGAATAGAATTGATAAAATCTGATAAAGAGAATTTCCAGAAGATACCTTAAAAATGAACTGATTTGGAAGCTATTACAAAATTGAAATGAAACTCACGAAAATATCTTCATCTCTACCAACTCTGCTGAAGCCAACGAACCTCTTAAATGTATAAAGTATATCCCAAGTAATACAACTACATCTCAACAGAAAATTATTAGAATGGTGAACATAGACAAAGACCCTTGAGAACCACCAAAGTTCAGGACCAACAAGAAGATCCAAAGAGGTCCACAATCGTCATCAGCATATCACTCATTCATTTCCTCGAAAATTGACCCAAAAGATCAGAAAGAATGGAAGATTTCACCAAGTTTCGGTGAAGATGATGATTACGGCATGACTACGATGAACCTTGGAAGAGCATGACTCAAGTTTGACAAAGTATTTACGTCCTCGTGTTTGTGCCTATGGAAATTAAATGTTCACTCTTAATTGGGTCAATTAAAATTGATTTTTGAATAGCAATTTTCCGTGTTACGACTAACAAAACGACAATATTTGTAGAGCCTCAATCAATGGAAAATACAATTTTTAAGATATAGCTCAAATAATGAGGATATTAAAAATCAAGGATAATTATAGTGAATATTTTCCTTAGATTATTCAATTGATTTAGTTAAGTCAATCATTGAAATTATTATTATTGTTCAGTGAATTATCAATCACTTTCTCTTTACCAATTCGCGATTTAATCGTCAAAAAGCAATTGAAATTGAAAAATTTAACTGAATTAATCGAATTCTAATCATTTGGACAGAATAGATTCCTAACAATTAAGTGAAATCAATTCTAGTCTATACAATTAAGTGAATTTAAACAATTCTGATGGTCATTATTTTCCCTCCGTTCGGTTTTCTATTGAAAGACTTTTCCTCAATTCTATTTGTCGAGAAATTTGAGTGAAAATAGTAACCGATTTGAGAAGAAAAATAAAAAACAGATGATTTGTTTTTCTTTCTTTTTGGTAAATAAGCTAATTAATTGTTGTGTCAATTGTCATCATTTTCAATTAAATTTGTTTAAATCATGAGTTTTAATGGTTAACAATCAAATGTGAACATCAATCAAGTGGAAATGGAATCAGAAACTATTGAATGTCTTCGGAGTAAACTGAAAGAGTCTGAAAATCAAAACAATAAATTGACAAATGAATTGACCAAATTAAAGAGATACAACAAAGATCTGATTAGTCAAATTGATTTGACCAACAGTAAATTACATTTACTTCTTGGTGTTTGTAAAGGTCGTGATGAGAAATCAATTCAAACTGATTTGGTTGGTGAGAGTGGGAAATGTTCAAATTGCCTTGAGATGATCAAATCAACTTGTTCTTGTACCACAATTAATGAGGACAACAAACAATTAAAAGCTGCTGATTGGGCTCAAATTGCTCAACAAGTTGTCGATTCCAATGATTATATTCTCGAACCAACATCTCAAACCTACTATTCTCAATCTACTGGATGGTATTATTATCCAAAGGAGAAGCTTTTTCTTGATCCAAAGTCGAAAAGCTATTACACTTACAATCAAAACACGAAAAACTATGAACCTTATTTAGTTGAACCAGTTGATGGAAAAAAAGAATTGATTGTTAAAGAATCGGAAGAAGGTGAATTACTTTCCTCTGGAAGTGAATCAAGTGATAAACAATCAGATATTGAAATCGAATACGAAAATGTAAACAACAAAAGGAGGAGAAGGAAAAAATTGAAACCAGAACAAAGAAGAGAATCTGATGAATTTGATTCTCTTCCCGATGACGAATCAAATATTTCTTGTCTTCGTTTAATTGTCCGAGAATCAGAATCATTGAAATTAGGAAGTCTCCTTTTAATTACCATCACCGGTGCTCTAATTGGTAACAGTCCAACTTGTGATCTAACAATTACCGACATAAGTGTTAGTAGGAAACACGCGAGAATTTCATATGATACGAGAAAGAGATGCTATCAAATAGTCGATTGTTCCAGTAAACATGGAGTCTTTCTCAATGGACGAAGATTAGAATCAGAGAAAATGGAGAAAATCAATCATGGTGATATTCTTAAATTGGGCAAGAGTGAATTTCTACTTCATCATCACTACGGAAAAGAGGTGACATGTAGTAGTTGCGAGCCTGGTTGTGTCCAAGCTGAGCTTCTTTCAGCTGGTAAACTAGTGGAAGAGAAAGATGATCCCTTAATTGTCGAGGATCGACACACTGCTCTTAAAAGATTGAAAAAGCTCTATGGTGTTACTTGGACGGAGGATAATCGAGTTTCTCTTGGGCCAAATTACAATGATCGAGCAAGGAAACGAAGAGTCGAGAAAGGAAGTGATAATCCATATCAAAAAGCGGCCGAAGGAACTTCATTAGATAAACCGTTGAATCAGAAAAACAAAGGATTCAAAATGCTGGAGAAACTCGGATGGTCAAAGGGCCAAGGAATCGGCAAAGAAATGGCCGGAGACACTGAACCTTTGCCACTAATTTCAACGACAGGACGAACTGGCCTAGGATTCGGTCAATCTTAGCATTCTCACCATCTACATTTACTTGTATAAAAAAGCTTAATTGTCCAATAGATTGTAAATTGTAAACATTGTACATTTTTATAGTTAATCAATTTTGTTTTATTTAACTTTTTGTTTTCTTGTTCACATCGATCAATTTGACCTCAATCAATAGACTTATTGATAAAATCAATCAATTAGTAATTGGTAATAGAAGGGATGAAGAAAATTTCTTTGCAATTATCATTTCACCTTCGAACCTTAATTGTAATCATCTTCATTATCAGATCAACTTGAGATGTTATTATCTTTCTTCCTCATCCTCATCATCACTAATCTTATAACAGAAAACAACATGACCTGAATTAATATCCTCTTGGACAAAGATGGAAATCTTAATGATTGTTCATTGATTGTCAATATTTTTATCTCAATTTATTTACTGATCGACAAATATTGATGTTATTACGAGAAAAACCTCTTGAGAGAAAAGATATCATCAATTAAATTAAATAAATCAATCAAAAGGAATGAGGAATTAATTAAGAGACTATTGAACTTTTCCAATGTGTCAATCAAAATTCGCTCACAAACTGATCTAGAACATCAACAACAATTACAATTAAACCCTTTTTCTCACGATGATATGATATATTTGAAGTTCTCAATATCGTCAACAATTTAAATCAATCGTTATTCATTTGATTGTAATTTGTTTTTCTCTCATCATCATCATAGATTTGATTCCTGATACTTTTTGTACATTTCTCTCCCTTCGGCCTCTTGTCAATCTCGTTATACTTTCTCCTCCCATAGAAACACAATTAACTTTTCTCTCTCTCTCCGTTTAATTGTCCTACTTAAATTACAAGTAGCGCCACTTTCACTATTTAATCACAATTATCAACAATCCAAGAGAAACTCAGTGATTATATTTGTTGGAAATTGTCGATTTGATTTGATTGATCGAGCCAAAGTTTCATTTGATTCCCGACTCACTTTCAACACAGTCAAACTTTTTTTTTGTTTCTCTGTAGCAATTAACTAGAATCATTTAGTTTCTCTATTATTTTTACAATCATTTTGAAAATGTTAATCAAATTACTAACAATTTCCTCTCTCTGTTTGTTGGCTATCGCTTATCCCACTGGTGCACCAATAGAATCATGTAACCTTCGTATCCCAGGTCACTCGGCTCAAGCTCAAACGACACCCGCTCCTTTTAACATTGAAGTCAAGCCAATCGCCGGAGGCAAATACAGTGTCACCTTAAAATCAACGGATTCAGGTAAATTCAAAGGTTACCTCTTGGCCGCAGTTGATTCAACAAACAATTACGTTGGTAACTTTACCCATGGAGCAAATATCAAACAATTAGCTTGCCCTCAAGGTGTAAGTAATCAACTACCATTTTAAATTAGTCTCATCAATTTCTAATCAAGAAGTGAATCAAACTTTAATCTACTTTATTATCTCTCTCTCTCTCTCTCTCTCTCTCTTTCAGAATGCTCTGACCCATAGTGACCATACAGGTAAGACATCAGTTCGAGTTGATTGGACACCATCAACCGGATTAAAAGGTCCAATTGATTTCAAGTGAGTTTCAATTCAATCAAATTTTCTGAGTAATTTTTTCATTACAAAACCAATTTCCTTGTTTACTGAGATTATTTTGATTTTCAATAGCACATCAATCAAAACTGTTGAATTACAAAGTAATAATCGTAGTTAATTATTTAATTGTATCAAATTACCAATTTTAATTGATGTTGTATTATAATCACAGAGAGATGCAAGTTAAAAAGTTAATGATGAGGTGATTGAATAACTGATTAAGTTTTAAACACCTCAATCAATTTGAATCCAATTCGTTGATTGTTGGACAATCTAATTTAATAATTTGCTTTTCTCCTTAATTACAGAGCAACTATTGTCCGCAATTTTGATACTTTCTGGGTTGATGTTAAAACAACTCTCACAATTTAATCAAATCAAATCAATCAATCTTAATCAACATCTAAATTGACATAAAAAAACAATTTGATTAGCATTAAATGCTAAATTATCAAAAGAAATTAAATCAATTTGAATGGTCAAATTGTGGAGATGGTCAAATAAACCAACTTGTTCAATCATTAAGAAAACAATTGATAATAAAACTTTAACAATTAAAATTAAATTGTAAACAATTGGAAAACATTTGATTGTCTCGATAATTATTTTAATGATTGTTAATTAAACGTAAGAAAAATATCCGATTTGATTACCTTATTGAATTGCGAAAAAGTTGAATTAAATATAAATTAAATTGTAGACAACACTTAACCTTTATTGATGACGGTCAATTCAATTAACCTTAATCATGATCACTTTTAATCATAATGATGAAATAGAAAAAAAAAATTAAATCAATGAAACTTGACCAAAAGGTTAACTGGTTAAATTTCAATAACAATTAAGTGATCATTAAATTGTGAGAAACAATTTATATACAATGAGAAGGGAAATTAATTTTTACTATTATGATTAAGTGAAAATGACAGAGTTAAATGTGAACAATTAAAAAATGAAATAAACAAATCAATCTCTATATGTGTCGAGGTTTTCATCTTGATTGTTACTTAATTGTTTGTTGATTTGGGGGAGAATTTGAAAAATAGACTTTTGCAATTAAATGACAAAATTTAATTGTAATTTATCATTTATCAAGATGACATATTATTTAGAGATCATTGAAATGGTGACTTAATAACAATTAGTGATATAAAACAATTAAGGTGAAAAGTTGATTACAATCAGTTTTAAGGAACTTGCAATTTCTTAGGAAAAAAGTAATAATAATCAAATCATTTGCAAATTAATTGTTAACAAAATTAAGGGTAAAAAATGGTTGACTCGTAATTGTACATTAATTGTTTCAATAAATATAAATTAATCTAATTGTTGAGAGAAAAGGTGAAAATGATTTGATGAACTTTTCAGTTAATCTTGCATATTTAAGGCAAGCTTGTTATGGTTGGTTAATTGTTGATGGTTGATGGGTTGATCATGATGAGTTGATGAAATAATTACATGATGATTTTTTAGACAAAATTGCAAGTTAATTAAGAAAAAATAATGTTGATACTAAATGTTGTCGATGATTAGCCCTGAAGGACGAAAAATAAACTCAAGAAATTGTTGATTGTCATGTTAAATTAAGAGATTAATTTTCCATCAAATTAAATGAACTTTTTTCCAATGATGAAATTGTTGATGAAAGAGCTGCAGTTAATTTTGATTAAATTGTTGGTCCGTGTTGAGGCCCATTGGAGTTTTTGATTAAAGGTTGAAGGTCAGGAAATTACCATTGATTACTGGCTAATTGGCAAAGTTTGACCTTTAAACTTAAATCAGTAAGTTGTGGACACACATCTGAGGTCATCCAATATTGATGATAAGCTGGATTCGTTGTTGGTGAAGATGAAGATGAAGATGCTGATATTGATACGTTTTCATCTGATTTGGTTTCTTTGTTAACTAATTGTGGCCATTTAACTTTACCCTGAGCAACAAATTCTGTCAAAACTTTGACCACTTCACGACTTAATTGATTAGCATCATCGGAATAATACTTTTGATTGGTCAGTGGGATTCCAAAAAGTACTTCCAAATATGATGAGGATGCTTTTTTGAATAGAAAAGCGTCTTCGGGAATTTCAGAAGATGGACCATAATCGATGAGTAAACTATAAACTGGTCCAGTTTGAGCGATTTCTTGACCAAGATTGATAAATGGACATTCTAGAAGATGACGAGCTGTCCATGAAGTTAATTCCTTACTACCCATGGGCCCTGAGTGACATGATTTATGTTTTATCTCTTTCAATTCAAGAGATTTTACCATTTGTTCAATTTGTTCGAGATGATTTCGATCTAAGGCAATTTTGCGAACATCATCAGCGGAAATCATTTGAATCATTAGAACGGGCGGCATTTTGGACCAACTTTCCGAGATAAAACCGTCGAGAGTAAACGATTTGGTTATAACTTCTGGACTATTGACCCATGGGTGATGAAGATCAAGCGAATGGCCCGACCCGTTGATGGACAAATAGCCGTTAATCAAATCTTTGGCATCAGAATTTCTTAAACAATAAAGTAGAAGAAGTTGATTCTTTTTCTGATCACAGCCCACTTTCTCTGCCACTTCGAGTACATCTTGCCAGTGAATGGAGGGATTGAGTTCAACGGAGGTGGAGAAAGAGTTCCCATTACGTAGGATCATTTGAGCAAATAGTTTCTCGTTAATTGCATAGCTAAATTGTAAACCAGCACGAAGACTTTCCCAACCATCGGCAAACAAAGTTACTCTGGATGGATCACCGCCTAATCTTGAAACATTATCCTGAATCCATTTAAGAACTGCTTTGGTATCATGGAAAATTGCATTATCCGAAATTTGATCGTCGTAACCTTCAATCAGACCAAATAGTCCAGTTCGATAGTCAAAGGTTATCACAACCATATCACCAAGGTGGGAAAGTGTTTTACCATCAATTGTCCTCACATCAACCGATGAATCGTGAATATAAACCAGAACTGGTTTCAAATCTTTTGGGTCCGTTAGATTTGCTGGACTCCAAATATTTAAGTAAAGACAATCTTCTTGTTGGTCATCATATGTTGAACCAAGAAATTTATCATAATAATCTGGTGATATACAGCGAGGTTTAAATTTACCAGCATAATAACCAAAATAATTAACACTTTTAATTGGTTCCGGTGGACGGAAACGATAACCATTAAGTGGTGGTTCAGCATAAGGTACACCAAGGAAGATGTTTATCTTTCCCTCTTTACCATTTTCATTGTTAATTACTTTCTGGCTCATTCCCATTATCCGACTCCAACCAATGCTCACCTCCGGTGGTTCATAGCCACAAATTAATAACGGATAAATATAACACAATAAACTTAACATGATGATCAAATTTTTGATTCCCTTTTGTTGTGATGGTTAATGTAAAGATGGTTTTTAGTTGGCACACAACACAAATCCAAGGGTATCACTACCATTGACCAGGATTAACAGTTGATGACCGGTTTATTGTTGATGGGCAAATGTTAATGAACCTGAAAAGAACGAAAGAGGAAGATGAGGAAGAGAGAGAGAGAGAGAGAGAGTTGAATGTAACAAGTTGATTTAGAGAAGACAAAGCAAAGGTAAAGAGATTGAAAGGTAGAAACTCACTTGGTGAAGAAGAAAATGATTGAAAAAGAGGAAGTGAAGAAAATAGAATAAGAAACAAAAAAGAAAAGAGATGGAATGAAATGAAATGAAATGAAATGAGAGAGTAGAACAAGAAACAAAAAGAACAGCAATTTAAGGCTTCAATCTTGTGAGTCCTTCAGGCCATAGCCCGTTTTCCAGATAGAAAACTAGTTGACACAATTGCTACAACAGGTTGGTTTCTAATGTTGAGAGAGAGAGAAAGAAAAATAATAGTAAGAAATAACCGGTAAGTTATGGAAACAAAAGAAGAAGATAAATTTAGTTGTAAATTGAAATACAGATGACAATAGAAAATGAGAATGGTAAATTAAAAATTTGATTGACAATTAGTTGATTCCAACAAACTTACTCAGCAGATAAAAAGAAAAACACTTTCTCTATAAAAGTAACAAAGAGGTTAATCTAATTTTCGTCATAAAACATTTGATACCAAACTATTGGTAAATTGAAAAATTTATAACATGAGAAGCGAAAGAATCAGTTGATTGTAACAATTAGAAGAAGAGAAACAAAAATTCACAATAAAAACACTTAAATTGTAATAACAAAGGGATTGAATGTCTCCTTGGGTTGTAACATTTTCTGATTCTTGTGAGTAGCAAACAGAAAATAAACAAAAAAAAATGAGCAAACGAAAAGGAGGGAAAATGATGAAAAAGGAGTGACCAAAGGTATAGGAATTAAACAGCTGAGTTATCTCATTTTTTCTTCTACTCATGTAAAAGTAACAATCACAGATTATGATGAAAGTAGAAAATTAATTAAATAATCAACAGGAAAATAAAGAGCAAGAATAAAAATAATTAATTCATTTACCTTTGAATAGGTAAACAAATCACAAGGTAATCAAAAGTATTAACATTAACATAGTTGGCACATTCAAAGTATGGAAAATATTATTAATATCAACAGTTTACTATCAACGTTACACTTGCCAGATTCTTGAGGAATTAAAATCACAAAAAAATAAAAGAGAAACAATTAATTTTAATTCTAATTTTAATCAATCAACTAACGATTTTTTTTTCCAAGAGAATAAAAAAAAAGCCAAATGAGAGGTTGACCAGTAATTCCAACAGAGGGCATCACTTTTGTTACCCTTTGTTTACCTTTTAATTGTTGTTGACATTTTTATCTAAATGTTGATTGTTTAGTTTTCTAATTGTAATTAACTCTAATTACTGCGAATTAACTCGATAAAGTTAATTGAAGGTTATTAATCATGAGTTGATGATAAACTGTTTTCCTTTTTCTTCTTTTCGTGTTTTTTTTCTCGCTTTTCGAACTTTTCTCTTGTTTGTTTTTTATTCTTCTTCTTTGTTTTTATCTTTTTCTTTTTCTTCCTACCTGTTTGTAGAAACAACAACAACAACAAAATGGTTAATCATGATTAATTTGCCCTCAGGATGTAAGATGAAACCCACTGGAAATTAAAAATCTCTTGGTTAATTCTTAGACTCTTACATGGTAATGTTATCTGATTGATTAACATTCTCAGATTCAATTGATAATTTGTCATAACTTGTTTTCAATTCAATTTGGTTAACTTACTTTTCTCATTTGTATTACTAAATTGTTGGAAATTCAAATTCACTGGGACACTTTTACTTTTTGATTGTTCAGATGATACAGCTGATTATTCAATGGTAACAATTTCTAAATCTATTGGTTAATTTATATTATTGTTGACTTTTACTTTCATTCATTATTTATTATGTTGATTGTTTACTTTTTCTCATAATGTTGTGTCTCCATTCAATTAATCAATTTCTCTCTCATTTATTTTTCTCTATTCAACTTTTTTTTTAATCGATAATAACAATTTCTTATTCAGTTGACAGTTCTGAATTATTACCATGATATCATTAGAGAACCATCATTATTATTATTATCATTTAAATCGTCGTCATCATCATTCTAATGATAATTTTATTCTCTTTTTTTGTTTTATTTCAGACAACAATCAACTTCAATTGGAATTATGTAATTGCACGAAATCATTGATTAACAATTGGGTTTGTTGATTGTCAGACTAATCAAGCTGATTGAGAACGGAAATTGGATCAAAACAACAACCGGAAACCGAGTTTTGAAATTATGAAATTTTAATCAAAGAAAACTGATTTCTGTTGATTTACTTTAATCAACTAAATATCCTTGATCTAAATTGAACATTTAATCAACACCAATCACGTACCAAGAAGGGAAAAACACTAATTGTGATTAAAATTGTGTCTATTTCATTAATTAGTCGCTTAATTGTTATGAAAAGTAAACAATCATCATCATTTTCACCAACAAAAAAAAATGATTTTAAGTGTCAACACAAATGAGATTATAATTAAGATTATTTTCTCGCTAATCAATTGATTACATTGACCAACAAGAAACTAATCAACTTAATCTGACAATTACTACAATTAAATAATCTCGCTGACCTTGTTCACTTTGCAAGTTTCACTTTGATCAATTCTAAATTGTGTTGTCACAATTAACTTGATTATTTACATTTTTTTTTTCTTTCAATTCATCTTTCAGTTAATTAACTTATCCAAATCTTTTGATAATCAAAGTTTTTGTTGACAATCAACATTTTCACTAATTACAAGTTGATTGAACCTAAAGTCCAAAAGTTATCATGATGATCACGATTAATATATCATGATTGTTAAATTGTTGAACTGTTTGGATAATCCCATTGGTTAAATTGTGAAAATTTTCCCCATGAGATTGAAATTAATTAGTGTTGATTTTTGAGAAGGAAAAAAAATCATTGAAAACACTTACAATTAGTATTAAAAATTAGTATCACAATTTAAATGTATTCATAAATTGTTAACAATTCAACCAAAATATTTACAATTGGATTGATGATTTACTATTTGGCATTGATTGATTGTAACAATTAATTTATAAACAGTAAAATTACATTGGTAATTTTTCCAGGGAAATTTAGAAAAAGGATTTACAATATTCTAGGAATATAAATTATCACAATTAAAGTTAATTATTGATGAATTTTTTTTTCTTCTTTGTACTTTTTGGAGATAAATAATTCCATTGGTTATTAGATGAATGATTTGAATCACAAGAAGCAGAAATTGATTGGCACTAAGAATCAAACAATCGACGAAATGGAATTACAATTAGTATATTGTCACAATTGTTTGTTTACAGAGCAAATTCAGTACAAGCTACCGAATCAAATTAAATTGCGATTAAATTATCATCGCAATTTAATGATACAAAATTCAAGGTTAAAAAGTCCTTAAATTTGGCGACAGACAATTAAAATTATTCACACTTCATTTTTTACCATCACAATTGCAGCATTAAATTGAATCGATTTGATCAACGAAACGAGTCCATTAACAATTGAAGGAAAATACAATCAACCAAATTACGAGTAGAATCAATTTCCAGTTAATTTGATTACAATTGCCAAGCTTATAAATTGATGGTGATCAGGATTAAGATGAGCCATTAATCAATCGTTTTACGCTTGAAACTTGATGATTTAAAGAATCGCCTTATATTACAATCAGGGTCAATTATTTTAGGTCGATGTTTATATTTAAGGCACCGGCGGGCACATTTCTCTCCGTTGTAAAGCCCATTCTCCCAGAATCGGACACAAAGGGCACAATTATGTAGACAAAGGTAAATCTTTTCCTGTTGTTTTCTCAACCGATGATAACTGATTGAAGAAGATGTTGTTTCCATAATCGACCAACTAATCAAATAACTAATTACAAACATTAGAATAAATGGTTTACACATGATTAGAAATGATAGAAAAACTTGAATTACAAAAGAAATAAATAAATTAACAATTAGAACAACAATTAACTGATTCTCATCGGCAGAGACAATTAAAAATCAATTGGATTAATCAACAAAAAAAAGTAAACAATGTTGACCGGGAAAAAAAGTTCTAAATTATCAACCAATAAGAATCGATTATCAAACGAAGCGGGAAGTTCATATTTAACTAATTGTTCTTAATTGTTAATCCAATTGTTAATTTGGTTATTAAATTTAATTGTAATCTTTTGATTATTTGAAGAATTGAATTTGATAAATTTTGATTTGATTAATTCTCATCTCAAGAAATGGGGTTTGTTGATCTAAACATACAATTTGATTCATAATTGTGAACCTTGAGAGCGAAAAAGTTAATTACAATTAAATCATTTAACTCTTTGGTTTTTCACTATTGTTTGTTGATTGCTGGTTAATTATATTATTTGCAAGTATATTCAATAACCTTTGTAGGTGATTAATATGATTAAGCCTAACAAATTGTTTTTCTTCAAAGGGTTAATATTAATCAACCTTGATTATGGATAAGCAAATCAAATACAATCAATGGACTGATAACCTTGTTGGTTAATTTGGTTTGCTTGTTCATCATCATCAACATAATAATAATTAATGATTAAACTGTTAATTTAACTAATAATCAACGTAAATTTAATGTGTACAATTAAATGATTAGTTAATTGTTGTAACAGTTTTGAAAAGTAAAGCAGAAAAAGTTTTCTTAATTTTCTGTAATTGTAATTGTAATTGTTGTTGTTGTTCAATTCTTATCATTATTGAAACAATTAACTTTTGATTATGTTGATGATTAAATATTTTAAGTTTTATCTTATTTTTTAACCTTCGCAAGTTTAAGTTAATTGTAATTCACTCGTACTGATTTATCAACGTTCATCATTTAAATATCCTTGAGGTAAGACTTTGATTAGTTAGGAAAATTATTGATTACTAATTATAAACATTTCCGATAGATTTCAATCAATTTCAAGGTTTTTTTTTAATTTTAATCATGATAATAATAATATACAATTTAATTTAATCATCTCCCTCTCTCTCTCCATCTTACCAATTAAGTGATCCCATTGTAACCAACAATCAAGTCATGATTGAAAAAAGTTTTAAATCCTTGATGAAATTACAATTACAATTATAATTTGTTCATTTCTTTATGATGATGATCAAATCAAACTCATTAAGTGATGATCATTTTTAATCATTTATCAAATAATTTGACTGATAAACAAATTAATCTTCCCATTAATCAATTAACCTTGAGATACTTTCCAACGCCGCGAGGCATAATTGAGACACAGACTGTTATTGTTTCTTATTTTAATCATTTTGGAAAAATTTAAAAACAAAACAGTCTAATTAAATCATTACCTTTACCCTCGTTAACAATTTATAAATTTTATATCAATTGTAATTAAACTTGAAAGCTCAACCGCTTAATGTGTTTCCCTCTAGGAGAGTTCATTGTAACTAACATTTGGAGCTTGAAATTTTATCATTTGAGATGAAATTAAGAAACAATTAAGATGATTTTTTTAGAAGGATATTTAATTGTATAAACGAAAAAAATAGGAAAATCAATTAATATCGAAAAATGGTTAATAATTAGTTTTGAAATTTGTATTAGAGTTTTTTGTTAGACTTTGATTAAAATTCATTTTTTGGATGAGGTTTAATTGGATCTGACATTTCACAATTTCGATTACAATTAACTTCGAACCTTTCTTCTGATAATTAATTCTATTTACCTGTATATATAAATCGATTAATCTATTGATGCATTAAGCTCGAATTTACTGTTATGAACTAAGCGAGTTCGAGTATTCTGATCATCAGAATATGATGGTCATTATTTTCCCTCCGTTCGGTTTTCTATTGAAAGACTTTTCCTCAATTCTATTTGTCGAGAAATTTGAGTGAAAATAGTAACCGATTTGAGAAGAAAAATAAAAAACAGATGATTTGTTTTTCTTTCTTTTTGGTAAATAAGCTAATTAATTGTTGTGTCAATTGTCATTATTTTCAATTAAATTTGTTTATATCATGAGTTTTAATGGTTAACAATCAAATGTGAACATCAATCAAGTGGAAATGGAATCAGAAACGATTGAATGTCTTCGGAGTAAACTGAAAGAGTCTGAAAATCAAAACAACAAATTGACAAATGAATTGACCAAATTAAAGAGATACAACAAAGATCTGATTAGTCAAATTGATTTGACCAACAGTAAATTACATTTACTTCTTGGTGTTTGTAAAGGTCGTGATGAGAAATCAATTCAAACTGATTTGGTTGGTGAGAGTGGGAAATGTCCAAATTGCCTTGAGATGATCAAATCAACTTGTTCTTGTACCACAATTAATGAGGACAACAAACAATTAAAAGCTGCTGATTGGGCTCAAATTGCTCAACAAGTTGTCGATTCCAATGATTATATTCTCGAACCAACATCTCAAACCTACTATTCTCAATCTACTGGATGGTATTATTATCCAAAGGAGAAGCTTTTTCTTGATCCAAAGTCGAAAAGTTATTACACTTACAATCAAAACACGAAAAACTATGAACCTTATTTAGTTGAACCAGTTGATGGAAAAAAGGAATTGATTGTTAAAGAATCGGAAGAAGGTGAATTACTTTCCTCTGGAAGTGAATCTAGTGATAAACAATCAGATATTGAAATCGAATACGAAAATGTAAACAACAAAAGGAGGAGAAAAAAAAAATTGAAACCAGAACAAAGAAGAGAATCTGATGAATTTGATTCTCTTCCTGATGACGAATCAAATATTTCTTGTCTTCGTTTAATTGTCCGAGAATCAGAATCATTGAAATTAGGAAGTCTCCTTTTAATTACCATCACCGGTGCTCTAATTGGCAACAGTCCAACTTGTGATCTAACAATTACCGATATAAGTGTTAGTAGGAAACACGCGAGAATTTCATATGATACGAGAAAGAGATGCTATCAAATAGTCGATTGTTCCAGTAAACATGGAGTCTTTCTCAATGGACGAAGATTAGAATCAGAGAAAATGGAGAAAATTAATCATGGTGATATTCTTAAATTGGGCAAGAGTGAATTTCTACTTCATCATCACTACGGAAAAGAGGTGACATGTAGTAGTTGTGAGCCTGGTTGTGTCCAAGCTGAGCTTCTTTCAGCTGGTAAACTAGTGGAAGAGAAAGATGATCCCTTAATTGTCGAGGATCGACACACTGCTCTTAAAAGATTGAAAAAGCTCTATGGTGTTACTTGGACGGAGGATAATCGAGTTTCTCTTGGGCCAAATTACAATGATCGAGCAAGGAAACGAAGAGTCGAGAAAGGAAGTGATAATCCATATCAAAAAGCGGCCGAAGGAACTTCATTAGATAAACCGTTGAATCAGAAAAACAAAGGATTCAAAATGCTGGAAAAACTCGGATGGTCAAAGGGCCAAGGAATCGGCAAAGAAATGGCCGGAGACACTGAACCTTTGCCACTAATTTCAACGGCAGGACGAACTGGCCTAGGATTCGGTCAATCTTAGCATTCTCACCATCTACATTTACTTGTATAAATAAGCTTAATTGTCCAATAGATTGTAAATTGTAAACATTGTACATTTTTATAGTTAATCAATTTTGTTTTATTTAACTTTTTGTTTTCTTGTTCACATCGATCAATTTGACCTCAATCAATAGACTTATTGATAAAATCAATCAACTATTAATCATCTTCGAACCTTAATTGTAATAATCATCATAATCAGATCATTTTAATCTTCATCTGACTGACAAATGTAATTTTCTTAAGAGAGTCTAAATCCAACAAACTAATCAATTACTTTTTTTTTTACATCAATTTACATTTAACTAAATTCAACCATCATAAATAGTGATCAATGGTAAAATATAATTACAATTAAAGTTTACATCTTCAACCCTGAGAAAATTTAATAAACAATTATTGGAAAAATATCAATTTAATAAACTTTTCAATGCGAAACAAAAAGTTTAAGTGATTTCATATCTTCACGACTCAAAGTGTTTATAGTTAATTAGTTTAAGTGATTAAAAGATAAACATTAAAAAATAAAAACAATTAACCTCCCATACCCATAAGTGAACTTTAATATTGCCAATAGTATTGATTGGGAATTGAACAAATCATGAAATATGATTTAAATTGACAACTATTAATAATATTTTCAAGAGCAACAATTAAGTTAGTTAATTAAATTTCACTTCGATCGTTTCGATCTTTAGTTTCATTGTTAAGAACAATCGTTTCGTAATTAGAAATTGGAATGAATCAAATTATTCTTCCAATTGCCATATCCCAATAGAGATTAATTGTTGATTATTATTCTTAAAAAAAAATGAACAGAATTAATTAATTTCTAAAAACTAAATTAATCTTTTCAGTCCTTCAACCGAATCGATATTTTCGATATATCGAAATTAGAGATTAACAGCTGATCGATTTAGTTGTTTATCTCTGAAGAGCATTTGGAAAAGTAATAAATTAATTTAATTTTCTTAATTTTTTTTGGTTAAATTGTTAATTAATTCATTTTTTTAGAATAATTTTTTCTTCCATTTTACTGGAATAACATAAGATTGATCATTGGCTTCTATCTAAATTGTGTTTAGTTGTTTATTTGTGATTAAACGTAGTGATTGTTTCAATTGGATCTATACTACTTTCTGTTTATTGTTATTAGTAAATCAACATGAGTACAATTCCTAAGTATGGACAGCGAGCTGGTTGGGTACCAAAAACGCTTGAAGATTATGATGATGGTGGAGCTTATCCAGAGATTGATGTTCCTCAATTTCCAATTGTTGGTGTTGGTAATCAATCTGCAAAAAAAGATTTGATTGTGAAATTTTTACCACCAACTGATCTTGGTCCAATTGAATTATCCAGTTTACCTGAGGAAAAATTATTAAAACCTAAAAGAGAAGATCTTCAAAAGAGTATTGAAAAAACAAGAGCTGCTTTGGAAGCAATTACAAAATCGAAAATATCTTCATCTCTGCCAACTCGATGTGCTGAAGCCACTGAACCGCCTAAATATATAAAGTATATCCCAAGTACAGCTACATCTCAACAGAAAATCATTAGAATGGTGGCCATAGTAAAAGACCCTTGTGAACCACCAAAGTTCAGGATCAACAAGAAGATTCCACAAGGTCCACCATCGCCACCAGCTCCTGTCATGCATTCGCCTCCTCGAAAATTGACCCCTAAAGATCAGAAAGAATGGAAGATTCCACCATGTATATCTAATTGGAAAATCCCAAAGGTTACACTATACCTTTGGATAAAAGATTAGCCGCTGATGGTCGTGGAACTCAAGATGTTCAGATAAACGATAAATTTGCTAAATTCGCTGAAGCTCTTTACATTGCCGATAGAAAAGCAAGAGAAGGCGTTGAAATGAGAGCACAAATGGAAAGAAAACAAGCCCAAAAAGAGAAGGAAAAGAAGGAAGACATTTTGAAGAAATTGGCGCAAAAAGCTCGTGAAGAAAGAGCTGGTCTTAAGGTGACATCCGCCAGCGAAGAAGTTGAAGAGAGGAACCAAATTCGTGCTGAGAAACAAAGAGAAAGGAAAAGAAATCAAAAGAATCCAAGAGAAAGAGAAATTACTGAGAAAATTGCTCTTAATCTTGTGGATCCTAAAGTTTCATCGACTGAATTAACTTTCGACCAGAGATTGACTGACCAAAGCAGAGGAATATCATCAGGTTTCGGTGAAGAAGATGATTATCATGTCTACGATAAACCCTGGAAAAGCGCGACTCAAGTTGGACAAAGTATTTATCGTCCTCGCGCTGGTGCTGATGGACCCGTTAACTTTGTCGCTAATCAACAAACCCAAGACGAGAAACAACCGGACGATATTTTCGGACTCGACGGTTTCCTTACAGAAGCCAAGAAATCAACAAAGAGAAAACGAAATTAACTTATCTAATATAAATTTCTCTTAATTGTAATCATAATTAAATACTAAAACTCTGCTTGTATTTCATCAATCACCAAAATAATCAAGTAACTTTTGACATTCTAATTGATAAAATATCCACGCTCCTTTCTTACGATAATTATTCTTGTTTTTCTATTCTAATTGTAATCTAATTAATTCTAGTGTCAACTGTCATCATTTTAGATTTAATTTCAACACATTTTACGAGTTCTAATGGTCAACAATTAACTTGTGAACATCAATTCAACACAAATGGAATCAGAAAACATTGAAACTCTTCAAATCGACTAATTAGTCAACCAAAGAGATACAACAAATATTTGATTAGTCGTCGTCGACTAATTAATTGATTTATCGATTGAACAATTAAAGGAAATCAATTGAGTGAATTAAATAATTGTTTTATTCAATTAATCGTTTATTACAAGGCAAATTATCAGACTGTTGAGAGTGGAAACAAAAAATTAGGTCACTTGATTATCTAAATCTTGTATTAGATGATTAACTAATTGTGGTGAGATTTTGTTTTCTTTAATTAAACAAAAAAATTGATTCAAAAATTAACAATTAAATTGTTGAAGTAGAAAAAGATGAGCAATGATTAGGTAATTGATTTTACTTTGGTTTTCGTATTTGTAGTTTGATTTAGACGAAAAAAGCTCCCAAACTAATTAAGTTAGTTGATTAAAGGATTAATTAAGTAGATTACCAAGTTGATTAGTGGACAGTTAACTTTACAATGTACATAATTGTAAGAATGTATTAATTGGATTGATCATTTTTCGATAAATTTGATAAACATTTCAACAATCAGAGAGAAAACAAAAGTGAACAATTAACTGAAACAATTTAAAGGATGGTAAACAATTAACGTGGAGGGAAAAGATAACAATAGTAATAAGAAATTGTTAATTAATCTCTGAGTTAATTGTTATGAAACTTTGTTTATGTATCACACACACATTGATTACCCTGATATTGAGGTAAGAAAAAGTTTGATACTATTTACAATTAAAGGTTGATGATATTGTTGATTGTTGTTGATTAACAAAAAAAAAGTTTGATCAACGTTTCGATAATGTTTTATTATTTGTTTTGTCTATTGATTGATTATTCAATAAGAGGGAGGAAAGAGATTGAATTGTTTCAGCTAATTGTCAACAATTAGACATCATAAAACAGTTTCAAATTCAGTTATGGCTGCGGTTGATTTATCCATGGGAAAGGTTTGCTTGTTAGAGATAAATCCGGGCTTAATCCGTTTCTCTCTTAATCCAGTTGATGTTGAATTTGATGGACAATGGATTGATGGATCTCGTCCATAGAAAGGGTCATTCGTTGTCACATGATTTCGGGTCATGTCTTTGTGAAAATAATGTTGTTGTTGTTGATAATGTTGATTGACCCTGGATGGATAGGGAATTGTATTGGACGAAGCGGCAACTGACCAATTAGCCGATTGATATCTAATCATTTCATCATCATGAGATTGACTCAAATTTTGTGGTCTTTTAATATTATCCAATAGATGTTCAGATTTGTATCTAGATAATCCAGTTGAAAGGTTACGAGATTTAGACCAATCTTGATTATAATCAGCTGGATTCCAATGATTAACATTATTAGTATTCTTGTTACGATCTCGAGTACATGATAGTCTTGAATGGTTATCATTACTTAACGATTTAGCAATACTCTGTGGGATAGAAATCAAGGTTATTATATTGATAATATTAACTACGAAAAAAAAAAGAAATGAAAAAAATTCTGTTCCAATAAAAAAGTAACTGTAACTCTCAGATGATCATAAATATTAGTTGTTACAATTAACATTCCTATTGATAATTATATCCATTTGTATGTTGTAATTTATATTTACCATGCTAACTAGATTAAGACAACCATCAGTGCCATTCTTGATTATTGGCTTACGAAAGTAGCCAAAGTATATGTGTTCAATGGCGAGGATCACAGTGGTCAGTAGGACACCACATCCGAGTAACAGGAAGGCGGACATGAACTTATTCACGTCCAAGGGTTTACTTAATTTTCCCTTGTTACGTGAAGGTTTACATGCACCTTGGAACCAGAATCGACGAAGTCTCTCCAGGTCACCTTTAGAAAAGGTCAAAGTGAAATATAGAGAAAAGGAAAAAGAAATCAATGAAAAAGTGTTTAGAAAAATTTAGAAAAAAATTTCAACACGATTAACTAATTATCGCTCATATTGTAAATATTATCACTTCCCTTTATCCAGTGTAAAAATCAATCTCATCTAATTTGATATTAATTGTGATCATGATCATTTTGTCTCAATGGTTTCAGATGATAATTAATTATGGTCCAACTAATTTCATTTACATTTTCATTCAATATATTGATCACTGTAGGCGTTGTAAATTGTTGCTGATAGTAGTTAATCATTCACTTGACTATGTATTTGATTATACATTCAGTTAATTCATTATATTGATCATCATCATAATCATCATTTGAATGGTCATTTGATTGAATAATGATAATAACAAGTAAATAGTGATAAGTTTAGTTGGTTAAATTGTTAATTGATGTGAATTAGAACTGTTGATTGTTAATACTTGTACATAACCTCTTAATTTGATTGATTACCTCTAATTAGAATTAGATTAATTTTGACAAATAATTCAACAAATTATAATCTAAATGTGTTGTTACCTGGATGATAATTGTCAACGATGATAATGATTAATAAAAGTTTCAACAGCAACAATTTATCAAACATTTCCATCTAATAATAAAGTTACTATTAATGATAAATAGTAATTGACATAATACAAACACAATCAAATTAAATTATTGATTGTCTATTGTATCTTGGCTACTTGACTGACCAATCGAGAGTAAAATCTAAAACTGTAGGATTATATTAATCACCATTAATGGAGATTAAATTGTTAGATCTAATTGATTGGAATTCGTTCTTACCGTTTTCTCGGTATTCAATCATTTTCTCATTGAATTTGTTTAAATACTTTGATTTCTTTGGGAAGGCAAATCCATAGCCTGTCATTGCATACCAGGAACCAACGGTCAGTAGTCGGCAATCATTATCTTGACCAGTATAATAATCAAGAACCACAGCATCGTAAATAAAAGCATCAATATCACTAGAAAATTAGGAGACAGAATATATCAAAGTAATAATGATCAGGTAATTAAAATGTAAGCGATTGTTTTTACTTGGGAAATTTATTCGTAAGAATAATAATAAGGTTAATCATCTTTATCTTCATCATCATTATCATCAGTCTCTTTTTCATCATTGAAGAAAACAGAATTTTCATGAGTGTGGGATGAGGATGAGGATGGAGAAGGTGAGGGTTGAAAGGGAGATGGAAGATTAAAGTTACTCTCCAAGGATAGAAAGAGAGAGAGAGAGATGATGATGATGATTCTGTTCAAACATTGAAAGGAAAAGACTAGAAAATGTTAGATAATCAAAGTGAATTATTGGAATATAAATATAAACATCAAATAAGATTAATGTTGGATATTGAGAGTAACAAAAAGTTATGGTTTAGTTGGGAGAGAAATGGAGAAAAGGTTGAGATGAATGTTGCATATTCTTGACTGGGAAATTCATATTTCTGTCAGGATGAATAATATTGGAATCGTTAAACTTGTGAAGCATAAGAAGGAAACATAAGAGATCCTGGTGAATATCAAAAAATTGCTCAACAAATTGAACTCACATGCAAATGAATTGGAAGGCCAAATGTTACAAAAGGAAAGTTATGATTAAGGGAAGAGCAATGGAAGAGGAAATGATGATGATGATTTAACGTGATAATTGGTAAATGATTGATTGGGATGACAATAAATCGAGAATTAATACCCTTTTCGAACAGCTTTAACACCTAATTCACTTGATGAGCGATTATATTTCTTCATGTATGAGTGCATTTGTGGTTTATTACGCTTGAGGACGGCCTCGGTGTTTCCAGAGGGTAAGGTACCAAAACGAAGGGCAGGTTTTTGTTTGGTTGGATTGGCAAGACGAGGATCTTCAATTCCGGTGAAATCGTGATAATCTTCTCGGGTTATCATGAAGGCGGCCAAATTAGCGGTGTAAATGGCCAGGAAAACGACGGCAAATGTGGCCCAAACATTGGACATGAATCGGGCGGTCAAACCTTTCGGACAATTAACTGGAACAGCAGCACCAAAAAGTATCGCCCAAACCAACCAGTAAGTACGAAATAGTGAAAATTTATGACCTAAAAAGTTAACCAACCAACACAAAAAACGAAATCAATTGGAACTAAATTAAATTTAATCAACAAACTTATTGAGAAAAAGTTCTGAACACTAGTGACATCTCTTGATAGATTTTCAAAGCTCTCTCTCTTTCTTTTTTTAATTACCAACAATTAATTATTTTCTTTTAATGACAAATTAAAAGTTAAAAATTGAAAGAAAAATAAAGAAATCAAATAATTTAAATTGATTGTTACCATGCAATCAATTTATTCATGATTAAAAAAAAGCAAACTGCAAATAATTTAAAGGGAAAGGTTTAAAACTCATCCTGGATTCTGTCAAGAGTAAGAGTGAAAATCAATTAATTAAACTAATTAATAACAATTAAGTATTAGTGAACACGAGAGAAAATCTTTCCTTTTCAGTTAATTAATTGTTTCTTAATTAATTTAATCACTTATACACATAACGATGAGATTAAAAATAGAGAGTAAATTGAAAAAGATTCAAGTCAATTTAAAGTTGATTAACTTTAATTGTTTGGAGATAATTATTATTATTTTTTTCTTGCTCTTGTGTTACTATTAATACTAATTCAATTCAATAATCAACTATTAACAATAACAATCAAATGTTGATATAACTAAATTAATCTACTCATTGGAAACAATTTGATAAGTAAATAATATAATAATAATAATAATATTCAAATATAAAGTAACCATGGAAACCAAATTAATCAAAATTTAAATGAAGACTTTATTTTTATCTGTCAATCCAATTGAATCAGATTAACCAGAAAAAGGGAACTGAATCAAATCTAATCATCTAATTACTTTGTGACAATTGTAAAAATAGAAATCTAAATTGTAACAATTACTATTATCAAGTAAATTAATCAGCAATGTAAATGGATTTTCATAATCACACCAAAGGAAAACAATATTATCGTTAATTGTTCAATTTCAGAATTTAAATTTTTCCAATTGCCCCCAAGCCTGAAAACTGATTAACTTTAATTTTGTCGTTCGTTATTTTCAGATAATCCTTTTTTTTCCTGAATGTAAATATATTAGATGTTAATTGTTAATTGTGATTGATTAACTCACCTTTCGGAGGTCTCATTCCCATATTGTAACCCGATGGACTTAACCATTCAAATAGGAAGATTGAAAATACAGCAATTTGAATACTAATCAATAAAATCATGATCCATGAGGCAGTATCAAAGGGCTCTGAATTGAGTGGATAGAAATTGAAATTGTTACAATCAATAGATTATCAATATAATGACAATAAGATGATAATTAACTTTGATTTATATTAATTTCCTTTATTATTGATAACACATAGAGACAAAAAGTTAGTCAATAAAAATGAGAAAAGGTCACAATCACAATTGTTCATTATCATGATAATATTTCCCTGAAGGATAAGTGAATGAAAGTGACAAGCAAGATGATCAAGATGATGATTAAGATAATGTCACAATTGAATTGATGCTACATCCTTTTTACATCATCATCATCATCATCATTTTCCGTCCTCATCTTATTATTTATTCCTAATACATGATGAGATGTCCAAGATAAATGAAGTAGGAAGTTGACCAGTAGTTGGTCCTTAATCTTAATCATTCACAATTATAATGAAAATTTGAACCAAAGTAGAGTAAATAAAAAGAGTTGACCAACATGATAATACAAACATGTTGGTCAGTTTGTGAGTTTTTCTTTTATTTGTTTTCTTTTCTTGTTGTTATTTCCATTCATTCAATTGATTTGAACTTGTCTTTTCAGCTCAATTTTCAGAATGCTGATGATGATTCTTAAGATGATACTCAATGAATATCATGATGATTCCTCTGAGAAATTGAACCTTACATTTAAATGACTTTGTTTTCTTAACTTTTCTCCCCTCATCTTCATCCTCTTTCCTCCCCTCTTCCTTTTCATCTTCATTTTCGTCTTCCTCTTTCATCTTGAGATGATCTTGATGCTGGTCAAGTTGTTATAATACTTACACAAATGATACTTTCAAAGGTTAGGTAATTTGTTTTGACCTTTTCCCTTAAACTTTTTTATTATACCAACTAACTGACCACCAGCATCACCATTATCATTACATGATATTATTATTATCTGGTCAGTTGTCTCAGCAAGATAAAAAGGGTGGAAATAGAAGAGGAAACAAAAAAATAGAATTGCTCAGAAAACAATGATGAAGAAAACAACTAAAAAAGTTATGTCCATTTGTTGTTCCCTTACGTATCATCTGTGGTCAAAATCTTTCCCCATCTTCTCAATATTATCATGGTAACATTATCATGGAGAGGAAACAAACTTTCAGAATTTTATATAACAAATAGTAAAGGAATAACATCATTAAGTTAATCATCTTGTTATCGAAATTTGAAAATCTAATTTACCTAAAAAAGCTTTCGGTGATATGATTCCCGTTCGTTTGGCGACCAGAATCGTTATTCCAGTCTCGAGAAATGGTACAGTAAAATCAACATAAGCCTGACGATCGGAGTTGATCTTGATCGAAGTGGCCACAACATCCGCCTTGTGGTCAAGTAGCTCGGCGATTAAACCATTCCAGGTACGATTTTGCTACGAGAATCAAGCAAAAAAAAAGAGTAACGATTAGAACAATTTGTTTAAAACTCGAATTTTAAACTCGAAATTTTTTTCTCCTTGTAAATCAATGTGAACAATTGATATTCAATTACCATGACAAAGGTTATGAACATAAAAAATAAAAGACTTTTCCACTCCCAAGAATTAACTCCCACTGATTGTTGACAAAAAAAATCGAAACTCGAAAAAACCTGAACAATATCAGGAAATGAACTTTTTCTTGAGTTTTTTTCTTTTACCATGAAAAACTAATAATCCTTTACCATGTAAGTCATAAGCATGATGCTATTATGACAATGAACAATTTTCCTCATCATATAATATATTATTTCCTTCCTTTGAAAATTCATAGTATTAATAATATCCTTCCCACCATCGCCACCACTGAATATCTAGCTCTCCATGTTAAAGATTTTTCCTCTTTATTGTTTCAGCTTAAAATTCATGAATAACAGTAAATGTCTCGTAATCAGGAAGAAGATGGAAAATATTTACCACCATTTTCCCTCACAACGATGGTTTCGGTGTTCACATATTTCACCCCATGGAAACTCATAAGAAATCGGTAACTCACAAGTCCCTGGATGAATCTCAGCATTTGAATACTTAAAGAATTGATTATTTTCATGATATTATTTTTAGAACTTTACTTTTCTTTCCTCATGGAAATGTTTACTTTGTTGTTGTTGTTGTTGTATAAGATTCTGAGTAGAAAACATAGAGACAGGATGGAAGAGTAAACTATTATCTTATGAATGAATAAAAAGAATGGAAAAAGTAGTAAAAAAATAGAAAAAAAGTTCTAATGATAATGTGGTTCTCGAAAAGGAAAATAAGAAGGAAAAAAAATACTAACATCAAGCTGAGAGTAGAAATATTTTTATCCTTCTCTCTTTCACTTAGCATTCTGAGTTATCTGTTTAACTCTATCTGATAATATAATTATCTCACCATCATATTCTCAATGATTCAAGGTTTATCTTCATCATATTCATCATGATGATAATATTATCATGACTCATCTGTTCTAAGTATGTCATGAATATAATGGTAATGATAATATTAATTGAACATATTCGTGAATTCGAAAAGGAGAATCTTTTGGAATGGAAGAGAATTTTTCCATTTTTTTCTTCTCCCTGAAAAATTCTGAACTTTCTCTTCCTATCAGAGGTACATAGAATCAATTACTATCTTCATCACCATCATGATTCTTATTATTAACTATTCACTTGAGAATCAAGAGAAATAGCTTAATATTTTATCATCATCATCATCATCATAATCATCATTATCATTATCATTCAAGACAATTGAATCATCAACAATATTCAGTAACCTTGAAGCTCATGAAGAAATAGATTCTGAATTAATGATTCGAGGTGAAAATTCAATGATTCAAAATTTTTTTCTTCTCTCTGAACCAAATTCTATTCCTAACAAAACTTTTCTTCCATATTCTTAACACTATTGGTAAAGTCATTCCGATGTAATAATTGAAACTAAATTTATTCAAATTGAATCAACAGGGGTAACCATGGTTACTCTAAGCATTACTCTAGAATCTGAGTGCTGTGAGTTAAATTGGTGACTTCAAATTAATCTAATATGAATTTTGAGTATTATGAATATAAGGTGAGGAAATTTGCTTCTCTCTCTCTCTCTCACGAGTGTTTATTAAAAGGTTCAGTTATATTCTGTGTAGATTAATATTCAGATTAAGATCAACCTGATATGGATTCTTATGAATTTAGAATAATGTGATAATAATTAATTTCCTCTAGAGAAAGAGGGAGATGGATGAGAGTTGTGATGAATATTATATATCACCAGAAAACTCATGAGAATGTAGAAATAATTATTGAGAATAGTTGGAAGCAAGAATAACATTGGAACAAGAAAAAAAATGAACATGAGAAAGAAGCAGAATTGGAGGGAAAAAGTAATAGATAATATATAATAATAATTAGCTCATCTGTCAGAATTGATATAAAGCTTGAAAAGTGATCAACTAATAACATTTGAAACTTGTTGCTATTTCCATCATGGAAAATGGGATAAGTTCACAGAGGAATTAATCAGTAAATCCTATTTGCTTTTTTGTTGTTCTTCTTTTCAATTTAAACCAAGAGAATCAAATATTTGAACTAATTCACTTTCACTTATTCGTAGCTCTTGAAAATACCCACTTACCGTTAGAACTCCCCAAGCTCCATCTTCAACTCGACTTAATTCGTAAGTAAATTTCAGATCATTTGCAAATTTCTCAAGTAAATCGATACAAAATCCGGAACAACATCGATAATAATTTGGATTCCTGTAAGCAAGAGTTTTATTCACCCTGTAAAAAAAATAATCGAGAACAAGAAAAAGACAAATATCAGCAGGAAAGTTAATTCTTAATACCAAACATGATTCTCATCTTCATCATTATCATTGATACGCATCAAAACATGACCTAGATTTAGATAGAGAGAGAGAGATGAAGATGATGATAATATCACTGTAAAGGTTTCAACTTGAAATAATAATAAAGCTCATCAGTAATAATTGATCGTTGACAAATGATGAGTATTTGGGTTTATCATTTCGTATCTTCATGTTATCTTCATCTAGATAAAAATACATTTTATTGACTATGGAATCTAATCAATGATTCTGACGATTTCTGAAACATCCTTAACCATGTAAAAGTAAATGAATGGACGCCAAAAGCAAACATGTCGTTAGAAAGAATCATCATCATGTTAACATTATCAACACCATGAAGATCAAGATCAAAATCAGATGAACAATATCATGAGATGAGATGAGAAATTTAGGAAAAAAATATATAAGAAGTAACAATATGATAGTCACAGACATAATCGAAGTAAATATTTCCAGAGAATCGGCGGATTTACCTAACATTGACTCGAGGTTCAAGTTCGAAAACATAGAACTCTGACCAATATCTTTGTCATCGAGAGAGAGAGAGAGAGAGAGAGAGAGAGAGAGAGAGAGAGAGAGAGAGAGAGAGAGAGTGATGAAGATGCTTTATTGGAAATGAAGACTCACATGGAATAGGAGTGAAATATTTCTCATGTTAACCAGGAGAAAAAAGTTCAAATGGTGAACAAGATTTAATATTAGATGAGAAATAGAAGAAAAATGTTCTTCGACATAAATATTGATCTAATATTTTTTTTCTTTCTCTCTCAGTTCCAAGATTTCTTCATGTACTTCTACAATGATTCCAGAGTGGGAAGAGGAGGTGGAAAAATGTTCTCTCGACAATTCCAGTATAATATCAAATATCTTGTAACAATAACTTGATTCTTATAATCGTTTCTTAATAATAATCGTTACCATGTTAACCTTCATCATTATCAGAATGAAATGTTGCCTGATACTTTTTTCTGCTTCTTCTCTCGATTCTGTAGTTTCTCTCTCTTGTTTTCTTTTCCCGAATTTCCTACAATTTTGGAAATTCATTTTTCTCCTCAACTTTACATTTCTTTTTCTCTCTCTCTTTTTTTCCTTCAACTTACCCGATTAATTCTTCTTCGGGTGCAAATCGACATCGAACTGCCTTATTAGTCTTACATGCTCCAGTCTCTTCATCTGGAGGCATCATGATAACGAAAGGCGATTCCTCGAGAAAAGTCACCTTGAGACTGAACTTTTCCGGAACACCCTGAGGTGGAACTGGTGAGTTTGACGGCCATGTGATATCTTTAATCTCCAATCCCTGTTCCGTCCAAACACCAATCTGATTTTCAAAGAGAAAAAATAAATCAAAGAAAATTGAGTTAACACTCTTTTTCCTAAAGTCATAAGATAATAATCAGTGTCACATTCATGGTAAAATATCACCATGAATGAAAAAGAATCAAGAATAAGAAGAAAAAAATGTTTCAATATTTTTCCTTTCTCTCCAGTTATCATGTCATTATTATCAATTGAAAATGGATCAAGTTTTTTTTTGCCTCTTCCATTCAACAATAACCCAAACCCACCCCACTCTCACTCACAAGCCACTTTCAAAATTGATCCTTGATTCAATCAGTTCCAAATTGAAATATAATATATCCATCCAATCATTATTATTAAATATAACAAGATTATCTTAATCAGACTAAATCCTTGATCATTTTACAGATTAACTTGCAAGACAATTTACAGAGATTTAGCCGCTGGCTTTCAGAATGTTAACCATGATGATTAATTAATTCTCAATCTAATGGAAACAATAAATTATCTCTTATTTACTATAACTTATACATCTGAAAATAAGTCAGAACTTAATTCTATTTTCATTCCTTGAACTAGAGAAATAGAAAAATAATAAAAAATTAACAAAAAAATCTCTCGATTATTATCATGATCATGATGTAGATTCGATACATATTAATATATAATATTTTTCCATCAGAAAATGAACTATTTTCGGTTGATTGAATAACCTGTTGACTTTTACTTTTACAGAATTTTATCTCATTGCCATGATCATGAACGGTGTATATAAATTCACCTGAATTCATCTCTTGATAATGTTTTTATTATTTTCTGACGTCAAAATTGTTGCTACCTAGGAAATTGAGTCTCTCACCTTTACAATAATAACAAACTAAGATATATCACTTGATTGAGTTTGTTTCTTATCATTTTCAATTGTAGCATTTGAAGATGAGGATGCTATTAATACCCTGATTCTTTTCATTCACCATTAATGGTTAGATGATTATACAATAAACACCTACATACCTTTTCCCAGATTCCACCTTGATTCAGATTCATTACATCTAATTCAACAAATTTAAGAGTTCCATCCAGATTGAATTCTAGATTAGATTTACCATATTTACTTTTGATTTTTACACTTCGAAGATACCTAAGGATAAATAGATACGACATGAAATTAGAGATTATTGGATTAGTTAGATTTAAGGGATTAACGGAAAGATGAATGGAAAGATAATGATACGATATTCTGAAGGAAAGGTAAGAATATAACAACAGGTAATACTATTAATACATATAATACTTTTAATGAGAACGAAATTAAAAAATTATAACATTGATCTTGGCGGAAAATCAGGGGAAAAAATGAAGAAAAAGAGAAAAAAAAGTTTTCGATTCATCCATTCACTGAATCTCTGGTGAATTTTGATTGGAATTGAAACTTTTTTTTTTTGCTTCTCTCTCACTCTTCATAAACAGTTATCATGCCAAGTAATTGAACTGATTGATTAATTTATCATTTCAGATTCATCATCAACATTTGATTCTTGTCTTTACTTTCCAGTTCTCTGAATCATTTTATCATGATTCTTGGATTCAATTCAATTCTATCATTTCAGCTTCTATTTTTTTTCATTCCATCATCATCATCATATTAATATCATCAACTTTTTTTATGCTTTCATGTTGTTCAGATGAAATATTTTCATCAATCATCATGATAACAGTGAAAAAAAATGAACAGAGAGAGAGAGTAACAAAGTGATATTCATGGGAATGAATTGATGCTGAATATTAAGATGAATCTCATGATCCCTATGGAAAATGAAACAGGAAGTTTGAACCTTTGAAAATTCATGTTCGTTTCATAAGAACTTTTGTTCTCCTCCTTATTTAGTCAAATCGATAGTTTCGATTTTTGTTTCTCTCGATTTCTCTTCAACATTGGTCGAAACTTTTTTTTTCTCTGTTTACATTAAATTCATTCTCGTTTTCATGCAGAATTTACATGAGGAACAACATTGTTAATCTGATAATGGTTATCAAGTGTTTATCTGATTAGCTATTTATCGTTTCATGATACGTTTTCTCCCCCTTCCAGATGAATATCATGAATATATGGTTATCTAACCAGGAATAACCTGTAAAAGTAGTTTCAGAAAATTCTGAAAGTCAAGTTATTGCTCTGAGAGAAGGAGAGAAAAAAATTTCCCTGTTTCCCTCATGTATAACTATGAATGTTTCAAGTGGACAAATGACCGTTAAAGGTTCAACAACAATCAATGTTTACGATATAATATAATATGCAAACAATGAATGGAAAATGATTGCAATTTGGTTCAACAAGAATAAGCAATTTTTTTTATCTCCTTGACCCATGAAAATTTCATGGAAATAAAAAAAATTGCATCAATTCTGAAACGATAATTTGTCCATTTGAATTCAATGGTTTCATTGAATGAGGCAGAAAAAAAATGAGAGACAACAATTAACATGATCAAGTGATTGGTAACCTTTTTAACCTCATGAACTGAACTTTTAGGAGATTCCATAAAGAGCTTCATGTTTATCATGGTGAAGGCAAGAAAAAAGTGAAAATAACAACATAAGAAAAATATTAACTTGAGTTGATAGATTGGAAACAATTGATTGAATCATTTTTCCTTCTTTAATAAAAATAACGGTAAAAAAAGAAACTGAGAGAAAAACAATTTACTGTAAAATCACATTATCATCATCATTTTTATCTTCATCCTGGATGATGAAGGATGGGAGAGAGACTCTTCTTGAAGTCAAGTTGATGGTGAAATTGTGGGTTAAGAGAGTAAGGCAAGAGAAAGAGGAAAGATGAAGATAAGGATGAGGATGAGGATGGAAAAGTCCAGGAAATAATAATAACGATAATGGTGATACAGCCAATTCAGTTATTGAGGTTGGGAAGTGTAAAGAAAACTCCTGACCAACGGATGAGGATGAAGATGATGCTCTTGAGACGTTCATCTTTATATTATATTTTTTTTTCCTTCTTCGTTCTAAATCCCAATAAGAAATGGGGAATGAAAAGGAAAACACTTAAAGTGAAAAAAAATAAGGGAAACGAATTGCTAAGTTATCTGTTTATTTGGTAGTTGGTTCATATTATGTTTTGAGTATCATTTCAATCGTTTATTGTTGTTGATACTTTAGTATTATCATCATGTTGATGCTCCCATGGTAAAGGACAAAATAATAACCATCATGATAATGTGTGCAAGTTGAAGTGAAAATCTGATGGGAGTGATTTCCAGAAAATGAAGCAAAATGTTACCAAGATTTATAATGTTTATCAACAATGGATTTGAATTGTTTTCTCTTGGATTTCATTTTTCTTTTCCTCTCTGAACTTTTTCAACTGAACTTTTAAACTTATTTCAGTCTCTCTCTCTCTCTCTCTTGCTAATCATGTATCATTCGCATTTCAATTGTTTTGTTTATCTTTATCGGATCAACTTAATTACTCCTTTGAATACGAAAAATAAGTTTCAACTACTCGATTCTAAGTTTTTCTTTATCCCTCTGATGCTTATCATGAATCTGAATATTTAGTTTTTTTCATCTTCTTCCTGTTGTTGCTTTCATCCTGAAAGATTTGATGGAGATTATGTTTTTGAACATTATTCTAAATGGAAACTGATAACTAGTCAGATGAATAACTCTTTTCATCGTTACTTTCATCAGCATCGTCATGAAAAGTTTATCATTCAGAGTGTTTGGATTTATCGTTGATTTCACCAACCATCACATTCAAGGTGGTGAAGGTTGAACATCTCATGAAGGAGAAGATTATGTTTTCTTCCAGCTAAATTAGCAAAAGAATAATAAAAAGAAAAAAGAAAACTAAGTTAAATCGAATTCAAAGATTTTTTTCTCCAGTTTTCTCGAATCATTATCTCTCTAAAGTTCTGTGTGCTCATGAATGTCAAAGGATGTGAATAAAAACTATACAACATGAGAAAAGAAAGAGGTAAGATTATCATGTATGAAGATAATGATGATGATAAGTAAACACAAAAGTGTCAACAGAAAACTCTGTCACTCTAATTCTCACCCTGAAATGAAAATATAATATTACAAAACAATTGGAACTGAATCAGAATGAAAACAATGGAAGATGTTTAATCATTAACAATTTAGAAGATGAATCATCACAGGAGAAAATGATCAATTGAATCAATTGTTGAAATTTCATGAGAGAAACTAACAAGTTAACTGGACACATCGTTAGATGATTTCGAAATGAGAAAAGTTTCCAAATTTTGGAGAAACTTTTAAATCAATTTCTTTTTGGCTCTTTAAAATTCCCGATACCGGAATGGAGTTCACTTCATTGACCATCCAATGGGTTTGCCAACCATTAGAGTTAAGTAGTAAACAGAAAAATTTCATGATAAACTTATAAAGGGAAAAGTGGGAAGGTAAAGTAAATCAAAGAGAAAGAAAAAGTTTTTTCTTTTCGTCGAAAAAGAAGAAGAAAAAATATCGAAGTAAACAAGGTAAGAATATTGATTCGTTGATTATCTTGAGATTTAAAACAAACAAACATTTTCGCATTGAAGAATCACACATCTTACTTGGCAGAAATTTGAAAATTCTGAGAAATGATGGAGAAGAAAAAAGTTTTCAACAAAATTTGGAACTTTTTTTTTCTTTTTTCCACCTTCATGAGTTACATATTCTATTCATCTTTTTCATTTCTTATCACATCTCATGAGCTCACTGAACAGTAAATGAACTGACGATTTATAAACATGATAATAATCATATTGTCATTTGAAAGTGAGAGAGAGAGAGAGAGAGAGAGAGAGATGGAAATATTTTTCGAAATGAAAAAAGTTCCAATATCAATCCAGTGTTCACATGATAAGATAATTTAATAATTTCAATGTTAATTAATTTCAATTATGCTACAATTAAAGATGAATATTTTATCTGTTTGCTATTCAATTGTGTTTAGTTGATTCTTTGAAATTAATTTTCTAAAAGGCTGGAAACTCCTGAGAAATGAAAATTAATATTACGATTTTTAATGTTATTCTGATGATTTTACTTCAACAATTAAGCTAATTATTAATATCATTATCATTCATTATCGTGTGAATTATTTTGTAGTTAATCTTGATTATTATTGATTAATTGAGGGAAAACGAAAAGGTTCATTTTTCATACAATCTACCCAATCAACAGAGAAGTTTTTAGGGAGAGAAATTGAGAAATTTTTGAGCACTTATTGAGTCAAGATTTGAGTCAAAAATTGAGAGAAAATATATTTAATCAAATTGAATTCAATTAGAGTTTATTTTGACTCAAAGTCGGATCAAGTGATTGGATCAATACTTTGGATCCAGATACAAATTTTTTTGAATTTTAGATTTTTGACGCTTTTTGAGCGCTTTTTTTAAAGGCAATTTTTTGTTGGTGAGATTCATGATTCCATTTTAATCAAGGATAAATGCAAAAGATAATTGATTTTTGTGAGTCAATTTGAGAAACATTGATATTCTAGAAAAATAGAGATTTTGACAATAACATTTGATATATAAAACAATTCTGATTAATATCTAATAATAAAATTTTGTTGATTTGGAACTTGTTTCACTCTAACTGAGATCGGTTGATTTCTTGTAACAAGATGATTGTAATTTGAACTTTAAATATAAATTTCTCCTGGATCCGTAATTAGTTGAGATCAATTTCTTGTAAGTTATCCATAAGATCAAAGACATCGATTGATTCCATTTCTGAATCTTCAGATTGTGAATCCTTCATTGTTTTTTTCTGATCTTTGAAATAGCTTTCTAACGCTTTTTGGATCTTTTTAGGTTCATAATAGAGATTTTTTCTTTGATTAATTCCGTTGAACAATTTGGCCATAGAACTTAGTCCATAATGATAATAATCAAAGATCGACCGGTTAAAAATTGTTGAGGGAAATGATGAAAGATAATGTTTGTTTACTTTAGCAGAAAATAAAGAAAAAAACAATGAACACTCAATATCAATAGAGAAAATAAAAAGAAAAGAAATTAGATTTTACTTTTAACCATGATTTTTGATGAAATTTTTGTAATTTTTGATTATTCTGATCTATGATGATGATGATTTAACTTTGAT